CAAGTAACATTTAATAAAATACATAGCAAAACAAGAGTAAAGGTTGAAAATAGTTTTGGCTTATTGAAAGGACGCTGGCGAAGGCTCAAATATATAACAGTGTATAAAATAGAAAAAGCTTCAAACATTATAATGGCATGTTNTGCNCTACATAATTTTTGTCTTATAAATAATGACTTGGCTGAATCATTTTTAGATGTTGATATTCAAAGACTTGATAGAATACAAGTTGTTAAAAGAGATAATAACAAAACTATTGCTATTGAAAAAAGAAATACTATAATGATACAATTATCAGAAAGGTAAAAATAAATAAGTGTAAAACAATAGTAAAATAAATATTTATTTTTTATTTAATAAATTGTATTTTTTCTATTAATCTCTCTCTCTCTAGATTTATAATACTTATTTCCTTTCTTTGGTTTTTTATAGCTAGAACATACAAAACACAAACATCTTATTTACTAGAAATATCACAATAAAGATTTTATAAACAAAAAAGCTCTTCCTCTTTTTTATATTAATTATATAAGTAACACATTTATTATATATAATTTTCAATATATTATATTCTTATCACATAAAAGAAATTGATACTCAATAATCTTATTTTGCAAAATAGATATTGTACATAACATATTACCTAAAGCACAATAAATAAATAAAATTGTTTATATCATTAACACAAAACAAATGTATGTAGTTCTTTAAAAACTATTCTTACATTATCTTTTTTTGCCTTACTAATTTTTTAAATCTCTTTCTTTTTATATTAATGCTTTTTATATTAATTATAAAAGTAACTGCTTCTTATATTAATTATAGATAACACATTATATAAGTAACTGCTATTTATATTAATTATAAGTAACACACTCATTATATATGAGTTTTGATATATTCAATATATATGTGCTCATATATAGAAGTTCATACTCAATAATCTTATTTTGCAAAATAGATATTGCACATATCCAAGATATAGTAAATAAAATCATGTAACACAAACTAAACAACTCTTATAATGTATAACAAAAATATTGTGTAATTTAAACATAATGTAAATCGTTTTTCTTATTATGTTTAGTCTGAATCAGAAGAATAATATTTCTTTTTTTTAGATTTTTTATGTGTTTCTAAATTGATAAAAGTTTTCATAACACTTAAAAACTCATCACGCTGTTCTATTGTTCTCTTTTTTAATTCATTTTGCTCTACTAGTAAAGCTTGCAATTTGTCAAAACGTTCATTTTCAATTTGTATGTCTTGTGCATGTAGTTCTTTAAAAACGCTTAAATTATCTTTTTTTGGCTTTACTGATTTTTTGACATTCTCAAAAATATTTGAAATTTTTATATTTTCTTTTTCTGATGAATTACTTTGTGTATCTTCATTGATATCTGTGCCTTNAATACTTTTTGTTTCATCAGTGCAAGTGCCAGAAGTTGCTGATGTAGTACAATCATCTAGTGAATCCAATAAATTGACTGGTTGACTGCTATGTTTTTCCCCTATAAGTTCATGCATCTCGTCAAAATATTTTGGCTGCTTTTTCTTTCCTGTACCAGTAGATTTCATATATNGACAATGTCCATGATACATTTTCTGTAAGTTTCGCCAACGTTGATGGCATTTGTCTGCAAGTTTCATTCTATTATAATTGGCTAAATATCCATTATTTTGCATTTCTCTTGCAATCTCAGACCAGATCTTTTTTTTAGAATGCATTTTGTCATTAAGAAAATGAAATTTTGTTTGTACAATCTCTAATAGCTTTAGTGTTATTTTTTATGAGTAAATTCTGCAAATAATAATATTACTTAATTAATATTGTTTATATGTACTTATAACAAATATTTACAATATAGAAATAAATTATTTTGAATCATGTACATTATAAAAATACTTACTATCTTTATTTGTCATTTCTAACATTATTTCTTCAGTTGTTTTAGTGGATTGTGCATCTTTTTCTGTGTTTTCTGTAAAACAAAATATTAGATGCACTTATTATACTATAATGTTATTAAATTAAATATTCAATTACATACCATTAGCTGTAGTATCTGTTTCACACANATTTTCTAAAGTTGTTAAAGCATTTGCTGTAATATAATATACATAGATGTAAATTATATATCTTATAATTTGAAAAGTTAACTTTAAGATAATTTATCTAAATAAGTAAATAAATTNTAAAAGAATATATNGTACAAAAAATTTTGTNAAACTAAACAGTGCATGATGCATATCATACTTACTTTTTGTGCAATAATATAGTATTTTTCCTTCTTTGTTCAAAATTGGTTGACCACGATTATTTGTACAAATCAAGAAATTTTTATTTATTTTTTAACAATACAATCTTTTCAATAAAGAAAAGAATATTTNAAGTTTGCATACAATGTTTTTTTCTAAAGAAAAAGAAAAGTTAGGTTAAGAACTACTTTACATAAACAGTTTATATCAGACTATGGATTGAATTGCAATTAATACTCGGCCACAATCAGTGTTAACAAAAGTGCATTTAATTTAAAATATATGCTAATTGATCAATTGCCACTCTCAATCTCAATCCATATGTTAATTCCTTTTATATTTGGCGCGTATTTGTAACCTACCAGATATTTGGAAAAGATACCCTACTATTCTGCAGGGTATAGCGTGGTATTAACCAGATAGATACCAAAGCGGTTAACCACGCCTCCACCACAAAGTAACAAACACGCGAAAACATTCTGGTACACTTTGGTATATGTACCATACGATCGCCAAAAATCGCCTATTACAGCTCACTTCATCAGGGTTTGAAGAGCAGCCTGATACTGGAGCAGTATCAGGCTGCTCTTTAAACCCTGATGAAGTAAGCTGTAATGTTCACGAAACGTCGGTATAAAAATGACACTAACGCGGTTCAAACCCAAAAAACATCTTTGTATGTTAATACTATACACCGCGAAAGCATCAAATATCAAATTACGACTATGGTTTTCCTGTAGACAATGTGCAATGAAGATAAAGTTTGAGAGATTATGTCTCTTGGAAAGAAACGAGATGTTACTGAGATGGGAAGAGCTTAATAATTTAGTGTTTTCGCAATTAATCGTACTGAAAAATCTATAGTATACGTGACATGAATCTATAGATTTTCAGTACTGCTAGGCACTAAACTATAGACTATACTGGAACGCTCACTCAATGTTAAGCAGCCGGTCACTCGAAAGATAGAGATAGGTATATTTGTTCCCACATATCTATCCTTGTCTGAGCATTTCTGATTAGAGCTTCAAATATTTTTAGTTCGAGGTAGGGTAGGGTAGGGTAGGGTAGTATAAGGTTAGAAAAAGACAGGCTGGTGACAATTCTCTATCTCTATTGTCCCGTTTCTTCCCATTTAAATGAGCGTTCCAGTATAGTATATAGTTCAGTGCTGCCAGTAAAAAACGAACGCAGCCTTAGAAAATATATACATATGTTCCAACTTGTCATACATAAGCTGCGTTCCGTTTCATGCATATGCGCGCATTTGTCTATACTATACGTCACGTGTACTATAGATACATGCGCGCATATGCGTGAAACGGAACGCAGCCATACACACATATAACACTAGATATACCAACTATTTAAATATACCTATTAAAAAATACAAAAAATATATTTGTTACGAATATATATAAAGTAACATTAAGTTCATAAAATGTATTCTCTACTTATAGCTACAAAAGTCATAACATCATTTCGGAAAGCAAATGTTACATGCAGTAAAAATTTTGAATTGAAATTGCACGACCAGTCAAAATGACTGGTCTGGTAAATCTAGTGATAACATAATCGATGCCTGCGTATTGCGGTGTGACTATATAGTACACGTAATACATTAAATATCTTTTTTATCATTATCTACTTCCTTCCTCGACTCTCTCCCACGACGGTACAAAGATTATTCCCTATTTTTATTCCTCAAACACAAAGTCCAAGTACAAAGATCTTTTTTTGAGCACAAGGGTCCTTTTCCGAAATAAGTACCCAGCAAACAATTTGGTTGCGAGATGTCGCGGTTTTGTCGCCAACCGCCGGCGAAATATGTAGACCAAATCTATATCCATCTGTGTCCTCATTAGGATATGGTTTGGCGACCATATCTGTTAAACATGTGAGATGTCAAAATGAAATCAAAATCATAACAAGTCTGCCACTAGCAAAGCAAAGTCAAAGTGACGCACCAAATCCACAGAACAGATTTGGTGATCGTTTGTTGGCGCCAAAATCGCGCTAAATACACATCATATCTGTTACCAAAACTGTCAACAAAACAGTAGCAAATATAGACTAAATCTGCCGTTAGAAGCGCCGACAGATTGTTACCAAACGCAGATCAGATCTGTCCCCTACAATCCAAGTGGAATTACTACAAAAAAAAAAAAAAATCAGTGGTATATCGCCTTATCGGAAGAGAATTAATTCGAGATTTCACTCGAATTAATTTCTAGAAGCCTGATTCAGCTCGTTGATCAACCGATGAACTCCACTGAAAAAGACCGAATCTGAAAAAATTCTAAATGTGATAGCGGGATTTGAACTCGAGACCTCCATATTCGCAGTCCCTGCACTCAGTCCGCGAAACCACTTGTGTTCCTTATTAACATATAATTATTTTTCTATTTATTCTCAAGCTCTATCCTACATTTCATTTATTATTTATTTAAATTATTATTTTACTACAAATGTTGCAATGCAATGTACCTGCAACAATAAATAAAAATACTTTTCTTATTATTCTTAAATATAATTTAAAGTACATTTTTACAACGCGAATAAATGTTTTGTTAATATATGTTGATACTTGAATAAACAAAGTGTTTTTTAATGGATTTTTGGTCACTGAAAACGAATCCGGCGGCGAAATCGACTTGACGAACACGTCAAATTTCTGAGAAAATTAAAGTTAAATGTATAACATACTGTCTATTAGCGTGAGAAAGAGCATATCGGTGTATCTCATTCACACTAGTAGACATTGTATTACACAGTGTCGACCGTACGTAGCTGGAAAGCATCTCTTGTTTCATATTACTCAACAAATACGAGAATAATACATTAAATTTATGATTGCTTCATTGCCGAATGCGTATAAACAGAAGTATTAAAATCTTACAGTTGAACTTTATCGGTTCCAGCATAAGTTAACAGTTATTGCCCGCATAAACAAGGTCTAACCGTAAAAGACTGTTCAATGTTTGTTAACAATCTGTTATCAACACAGGCGACAGATATGATCGCAGATAATCGCCATTTTGTTGTCTAGATGTCAAACAGACAATTTAGTAGTCTTGCGTGCAAACAGTCCGCACGTATGCACGAACAGATCTGCTTGGCATTTCCTGGCAATCTGTCGTCAATGCGTTCAACAGATCGACCCGACTGCGGTCACCGTTTTGTCATAAACAGATGCTCATACGGTTTGCGGACTGTTTGGTCACAGTATTGCTAAAAGCAGATCTGCTTGCTATCGACCATCTATTTGTTGTCAATTTCACTAACATATATGGAATCATTTTGGCCGTAATACTCTCATGTATTTGCCAACAGAGTTGTTGCGTTTTTTGTTTCTATGTGCTAACAGTTTTGGCAGCACCAAAGCATGTTTCCGTATTGTAGCGTTTCTAAACACAGTTTCTGTTGCCAAGGTCTGCGCAGTCAGAAACTGTTTGCTGGGTATAAATACCGCCCTCGAATAGGGCGCGGCAGTCAGTCTGTTACATCAAGTCGTGCGTGTCAGTTACTATAACCGATCGTCAAGTAACCATTGTCTCGGTCGTGCCGTCTATTCATCTATAATTAATACTTTGCGAATTTTAAGGTGTAAGTGAAAACTATAATAAAGAATATTGTAACTGTGAAAGTAAAAGTTATAATAAAGAATATTGTAACTGTGAAAGTGAGAATAAAATAGTTTTTTAAACTAACTGAGATCGCAAATCTTACAATGGTACCATGTACAGAGGAGTGCATTGTATTGTTCCGCTCCAAGGGAAGTTTTTCTCTGAAATTTCTTTTCTGGCTGCTTCTCCTGCCGGGCGCCGTACTCTTTCGATCTCCGCCAGCGACTCGAGATTGAAGAAAAACGGCGCGCGGTAGTAGGGACAGCCGGAGGAGAAATTTTCGAGAAATACTTCTCCTGGAGCGGAACGATATGGTACACTCCTCTGTACAGATAAGGATAGAGAGATGTTGAGAACAACGGTAAATTAGCTATGCTCCTTCCAGTATATATGTTCTAAGATGGCAACGCTGTTTATAGATTTTGCAAATATACGTGATACAATGTACAG